TTGGTAATTTGCTTCTTTTCATCACTGAAAAATACTCCATTGAATTATGTACCACAGTTTGATTATCTCTTCACCTGTTGAAGGACATCTTGGTAGTTTCCAATTTGGGATAATTATGAATACAACTTCTATAAGTATTTGTGTGCAGGTTTTTGTGTGGGTGTGAATTTTCAAAACAGTTGGATGAATACTTAAGAGTGTGATTGCTCTGGTATAAGACTACGTGTAACTCATCAAGAACAACCAGACTGTCTTCCAAAGTGACTACCCTAAGCATTCCCATTGGCAATGCATAAGTTCCTGTTGCTGGCATCCTTGTCAGCAATTGGCATGTGATACATTTTGAGTTAATCTTTGAAAGGTATAAGATCTGTGTCTTAGGTTTGTATTCTTTCATATGGATGTCCAGTTGTTTCAGAACCATTTGTTGAAAGGACTATCCTTCATTGAATTACTTTTGCTCCTTTGTCAAAGATCAGTTAATTGTACTTGTAGGATATATTTGTGAGGTCTGATTCTGTTCCATTGACCTGTGTATTTTATTGCACATACCACACTGTCTATTAATTACTATAGCTTGGTACACTAGTTAAGTCTTGAAATTGTATAGCATGAGTCCTCCAACTGTGTTCTTCTTCAGTAGTATTATTATTGACTCCTCTGGGTCTTTGTCTTTTCAAGTAGACTTTTTAATCAATTTATTAGTATCTACAAAATGGCTTGCCAAGATTATGGTTGTGTTGCCTTGAATCTGTAGATCAGGTTGAGATGACTTGACATCTTATCAGTACAGAATCTTTCAGCCCAAGAACATGGATTATGTTTCCATTTGTTTAGATCTTCTTTGAGTCCTTTCATCAGAGTTTTGTAGTTTTTTGCATATAGATCCTGTGCATATTTGGATTTCTACCTGATAAAAACATCTTTTGCTATTGTCAATGGTATTTACATTCTTGTCAAATTCCAATTGTTCATTGCTGGTATTTGGGAAAGCACTTGTCATTTGCCCTTCTGTCTGACAGCCTTTCTATGTTTGCTTATTACTTCCTTAAGTTTTTTTTTTTGTTTTTTTTTGGTTAATGATTCTTTGGGATTTTTCTGTAAAAACAAGCATGTCATCTGTGAACAAAGGCAGTTTTGTTTCTTCCTGTTGATTCATCAGTTTCTTTAATAAATACAGATCTATTCAAGTGATTTAGCTCTCTTCAAGTTTTTTGGTAATTTGTGTCTTTCAAGAAATTGGTACATCTTCCTGTAAATTATCAAATTTGTGAGTATAGAATTGTTCATACATTCCTTTATTATTCTTTTAATATCTCAGGGAACATTTCTGATATTGGTAATTTGTATCTTACCTCCTTTTTCCTTCCTTAGCCTAGCTAGAGGCTTGTCACTTTATTGATCTTTTCAAATAATTAGATTTTGGTTTTATTGAATTTTTTTTTTTTTGCTATTGTTTTTCTATTTTGAATTATGTTGGGTTTTTTTGGCTCAAGTTTTTATTATTTTCTTCTGCTTTCTTTAGGGTCATGTTGCTCTTCTTTCTGTAGTTTCCTAAAGGAGAAGCTTAGAGTATTCTAGTGTTAGAGCTGAACCCAGAAGTCCCCTCATCACTTTTTAACTGCTGCTCTTTCCACCTTCTTCCAGGTGAAGGGGCCAGGTTGGCTGTGTTGGTGTAAAACTTGCTGCCCATTGCAAAAGCTCCTGAGTCTTGAGTCTTTCCAAACAGAAAGACTTCTGTGTGCTACAGATACACAATGGAATAGTACTCAGTCATAAAAAAGAATGCGATGATGCCATTTTCAGTAACGTGGATGGACCTAGAGATTATCATACTAAGTAAATCCGAGAAAGACAAATATTATAGCACTTAAATGTAGACGCTAAACTACGACGTGAATGAGCATGTCTATGAAACAGAGACACACTCACAGACGTGGAGGGGGAGGGTGGGCTCGGGAGGGCTGGACTGGGAGTTTGAGGCTAGCAGAAGCCAGTGATTATACATAGGATGGATAAACAACAAGGTTCTACTGTATATGGTTAATCTGGACTGTTTACAGTAGCCAAGACATGAAAGCAACCTAAGTGTCCCTCAGTAGTTGAATGGTTAAAGAAGACGTGGTCCATATATACAGTGGAGTATATGCCTCAGTCACCAAAGAAATGAAATAATGTCATTTGCAGCATCATGGATGACCTGGAGATTACTATGCTAAATGAAGTAAGTCAGAAAGAGAAATATCTTACGGTGGCGCTTATATGTGGAATCTAAAATGGGATAGAAATGAACATATCTTCAAAACAAACTCACAGACATAGAGAGCAGACTTGTGGTTGGTGGGGAGGAGAGGGGGGTTAGGAGTTTGGGGCTAGCAGATGGAAACTATGTAGGGAACGGATAGGGCAGGAATAGAGACGTAGATGCAGAGTGAGGGAAAGAGAGGGCGGGACCGGCCGGGAGAGTGGGCTTGACATATGACACATGCTCCACATGTAATAGATGGCTGGTGGAAGGTCACTGTCAAACCGGGATCTCAGCCTGGGGTCTGTGGCCACCTAGAGGGGCGGGAAGGGGGCTGGGTTGGAGGAGGGAGGCTCCACGGCTGATTCTTGTGCGGCAGAAACCAACACAACCTTGTAAAGCAATTATTCTCCAACAAAAAATAAGTAAATTTTAAAAGTGCACAAAATCTCGTTGAATAGCACAGGGAGCTATATTCAGTATCTTGTTATAAACCATAATGGAGAAGAATATGAAAAAAAAGTGTATGTATGTCTACCGGAATCACTTTGCTGTACAGAGTAAATGAACAAAATGAACACATTATAAACCAACTATCCTTCTATAAAATTTAACACAATTTTTTAAAAAATTAAAAAAAAAGAGGCAGCTGGTGCTGTCGCTGCCCCGCCTTCCCGGCGGGCTGCTGGCTGTCCGTCCCAGTGCTCACACGCGCCTTGTCCTTTTGTCTCTTGAAGGTCGCCTGGTGGGTGCCCTGGACGCGGTGCTGGATTCCAACGCCCGGGTTGCTCCGTTTCGAATTCTGCTCCAGGTGCCCGGCTCCCAGGTGTATTCCCCCATAGCATGTGGTGAGTTACTGAGCGGATCGGACGTTTACTGGGCCGTGGCCACGGGTGAGTTTCACCCCAGGTGGAGCATTCCCACCTTGAGGTCTGAGCATGGGTATCTGCATGCTGGTGATGCTTGAAGGTAACTCGTCGTTCCTCATCCACTGCTCTGAGCTCTCTCCTTTCTCTCAACCATCAGAAGCACGTAGTGGTCCTGAAGGGTGGACAGCCAGGTTGGACAGACGGTCCAAGTGGTGTGTGGTTCCCGGAGGAACCCAGCCGTTTGCTTTTCCGTCTTGTGTCTGACATAACACAGGAGTCCCAGGTGTGAGTGTGTGCCGTGATGGTGCAGGGGAAGCGTCCCGGGCTGGGTCTGTCTCAGGCTCATCTTGGTCCGTGTTCCACGTGTGCACTGAATCCCTGGACAGCTGGGCTCCGCAGGAGTTTAGAAACCACCTTCCCATCCTCTGAGTTTCAGCTGCTCCCACACGCACTATTCTGCGCTCTGCCGGGACACTCAGGTCCTCTGGGAATCTTGGCATCGTGAGAAGCCCCTTCTGTTAAAAAACAAACCTGAGATATGTCTTTTTATTTATCTTCCAAACACCACAGAAACTTTATTCACACAACCCATGTGAGATTTCTGAACCTGTGCCAATGAGGCAGGACAAGCCCTTTTCTCTCAGGCTTGTTACTGACATGTAAGTTAACACAAATGCAAGTCAAGCTTACACACTGTTGACAGATAACTCCTAGTCCCTATTTTAGTACCACCACGGGGATGCTCAAAGGGCAGTCGGTGAGATGTCTCTTTTTAATTACGCAAGTAATCTTTACACTTCAGAAATTAGAAAATGGGTGAGAAAGAAGGAAAAAGAAGTCATCTATAACATCTTATCCAGGGTAATCACTCTGTGTCTACATGTGTTTCTACACAGAGGTTTCCAGTTGTGGTTTTTTTTTTCTCTCTTAAACAATTGAAGGTGTCAGTCACTTGGTCATGTCCTACTCTTTGCAACACCATGGACTGTAGCCTGCCAGACTACTCTGTCCATGGCATTCTTCAGGCAAGAATACTGAAGTGGGTTGCCATCCCCTTCTCCAGGGGATTTTCCTGACTGAGGGATTGAACCCTGATCTCCCACACTGCAGGCAGATTCCTGACCATGTGAGCCACCAGGAAAGCCCGCATTTTAGTAACTACTGTCAAATTTCAGTGTCACCTTACATTCTCTAATGACATCAGATTACTTTTTTTCTTGGAAAAAATACAGGAAAGGGTAAAGAAGAAAATTGTCATCTTATACCCACCATTTATTACTAACCACTGTTAACATCTTGGAACATTATTTCCCCAGCTTGTTTGTTTGGACAAATCATTCTGTATTTGCATAAAGTGATAAAATGATGCATGCTCAATATAATCAATTAGCCCTGGAAAATACAAAGAAAAAAATATATCTTCTTCCCTGCTCCGCCCCGCCACCAGCATCCTAGCCAACCAACCTCCCGCGACACTGGTTGATGACTTTTTTCCTTCCTTTCTTTTGTTTTTTTGTATTTTTGGCCATGCTGAGCTTGCTGCCCCAATCAGGGATTGCTCCCAGGACCGTGGCAGTGAAAGCTCCGAGTCCTAACCACTGGATCATCAGGGAATTCCCAGCACCACTTTCTAATGCATCTACACAAGTCCAGGAATAGTTGGGAAGAACAGTAGATGGTGCAGCTTGTCCAAAAGTGCCAGTTGACAATACAAATATTGTTTTTAGTGGATTTCAATAAAAGGAAAGCTGCTGAAGTGAAATGAAAAAACTGTTAAACTTCAAAGAAATATCCCTTGAACACTGATTGCCGGGTTTCTAACCGTTCCTTGAAGGTCAAGGGGATAGATGTTGGAATGTGTGACAGGGTCAGAATTGTAGCTTTTGAAGACAGTGTTTCTACTCAGTGTTCACTGACTCACCTCCCAAAGGACAAGGATGCTATCAGTCTTCTCATCCGTCTCCTGGTGCCCCAGGCTCTCATTTTAAGAAGTTTTACTATTAATTGTATGCTGTGATTCTCATTCTGTTCGGTAACTGTGCTCCTCAACATCATTTGGCTCAGTTCTCTATGTAAATCGATTCTGTGCTTCCATCAGGTATGGCTTTCCCAACATAGCATCTTTTATTTTGGCTCCTTTCATAGTTGTCGGTATTCCTGTTTTCTTTCCCTAATGATATCTCACATGGTTGCCATGCCCTGGTTGGTATGATGAGTTCTGACCAGTCTCTGGGGCTTGGTGGCCATCACTTTGGGTCTTGCAGTATTCTGGTGGCGAGGGGAGAAACCTCAGGCTGGCCTGATGCACCCTACCCCCCACCCTGCGCCTTGTGGGTGATGTGCTTTTCATGGGTATAACTGCTTTTTTTATCTCTGAGGTTTCGCAACATTAGTCACTTTAGTAACTCCCTTAAAATCTGTTACTCCCTGGAACACTTTGTGTTGCATTTTTCTGAAACTCCCATGTGCTCTTCCAGGACTTAAGATTGATTTCTTTAATCATTTCAGGAAACTTTCTTAATATCATTCTGTGTATGTCTTACATTGTAAAAAATGCATTTTATATTCTGTTGATTGGATTTCCCACTTCAAGGACACTTTCTGTTGGACAGCTGTTGTCTGTTTTTCATTTCTGCTTTTCTTTTTTTTGGTGAAAAGAGATCTTTGATAAAAGATCTTTGATAAAAGAATTGACCGTACAGGAACACCCCCCTTTCACAGTATTCCTTTTTACTTCTTAACGTGCGTTAGGTTATGCTGTAAGATTTCCTGGTTACAGCACTAAAGGGCAGAAAAAGGAATGTATAGAAGGCAGTATTTCTGTTAGGTGCAGTAAGCGTGGGCTTCCGCAATGACTCAGTGGTAATCTGCCTGCCAATGCAGGAGACATGGGTTCGATCCCTGGGTTGGGAAGATGCTCTGGATGAGAGCATGGCAACCCACTCCAGTATTCTTGTCTGAAACGTCCTGTGGACAGAGGAGCCTGGCGGGCCACAGTCCCTGGGGTCGCAAAGAGTCGGACAGAGCGACTGAGCACACACAGTGTAGTAGTGTTCTGGGAATACTGTGTTTTTCTTCATCTGTCCTTTTCAGCTGCCCTCTGCCTGCTGGTTGTGTGGCCCTTTCCTCTAAGGGAATTCTGTTTTCGGCAGTGTTCCCCAGACTCTGCTGCCTTTAACTGACCTACTAATTTTGTTGTCATGTGGTTTTTAAAAAAAAAACTAAGCGAGTGATTTGGCCGCGTGGGGTCTTAGTTGTGGCACTCGGGATCCTCACTGCGTCACGCGCGATCTTTGTTGCGGTGGTGTGTTACGCAGGCTTGGTGGTTGCGGGAGGCAGGATCTTACTTCTCCAACCAGGGGTCAAACCCACATCCCCTGCTTTCCAAGGTGGATTCATAACCCCTGGACTCCCAGGGAAGTCCCCGCGTTGTCAGCGGGTCTGATCCTCAGGTCAGTTTCTTAGGTCCCCAGTCTCCCATTTTATCTCTGTAATTTCACCATCGCGTCTTTGAGCGCTTGTTTCATTGAGCTCACATTTCTGTTACAGTGTCTTGGGGCGTGAAGGCTCCGTGGGCATCTCCTCCTCCTCCTCCTCCTCTTCCTCCAGGACGTTGAGCACCTGTTCTTCTGTCTCCGTCCCCTTGCTGCCAGCGGTTTAGCTTGGTTGCTGTGCTGTTGCTCTCCTTTCTTGCTCACGCTGGGAAGCGGTTCTCCTCCACTGTGTCAGCATTAATACTGTGGCCGTGGCATTTTGATGTGCATTTTGGGGATGGAGCAGGGGCTGCTGGTGTGCTGCTGGCCAGGATGGGGGGTGGGAGGGGCAAGACCCTGTCCTCCTCTCCTGATTCTCCCTGGATTCCTCTCCTCTGCCCCAGGCAGTGGAGGTGGTCTTGCCCTAGGATTTGAGACTTTTGATGAGAACGTTTGGATTTTTGTCTCCTGCTAGATGGACCTCTGGGGAGTCACCAGTGGGGGGATTAGTGCACAAGCCTGTTGGGGTCCTGAGACCACACAGCTCTGCACGTGCGCAGGAGCCAGTCTGGGCTCCACGGTGACGGGTGTCCTGCTTGATGGTGACACAGTGTTCAGCCTTTGGCTGTAGCTAGGTTTACTCATCCAGACCTTTTATTAGATACTTAATTGGCTCTGATTTTTATGTATTTTATAAACCTAAATGAGCATCCAGACACTTAAATATTTCAGGCCATCCTGAAATCCTCTCATTTGAAATGGTTGATGCTTATCTTTGTACCAGACCTGTGCTGGGTGCTGGGATTCCTGGGTGAGGGTGTGAGAGGCAGTTTCCTCTCCCTGACCTTCTTGGGCCATGGGGAATCAGAGAGCCAACCTGGAAATGGCTGGGACAGGTGGAACAGGGCAAGGAACGCAAGAGAGGCCAGGACCCCGGGGGGACACACACACAAGCACACCTCGTTTCATTGTACTTCACTGTGCTCTGTAAATGTTGCATTTTTTACCAGTTAGCAAGGCTGATCACACAGTTCCGAATTGTGGTGCTGGAGAAGACTCTTCAGAGTCCCTTGGCCAGCAAGGAGATTGAACCAGTCAATCCTAAAGGAAATCAACCCTGAATATTCATTGGAAGGACTGGTGCTGAAGCTGAAGCTACAAGACTTTGGTCACTTGATGAGAGGAGCAGACTCATTGGAAAAGACCCTGATGCTGGGAAAGATTGAGGGCAGGAGGAGAAGGGGATGACAGAGATTGAGATGGTTGGATGGCATCACTGACTCAATAGACATGTATGCTAAGTCGCTTTAGTTGTGTCTGACTCTTTGTGACACTATGATCTGTAGCCCGCCAGGCTTCCCTGTCCCATGGGATCTTCCAGGCAAGAATACTGGAGTGAGTTGCCATTTCCTCCTCCAGGGGATCTTCCCAAACCAGGGATGGAACCCACGTCTCTTTTGTCTCCTGCATTGGTAGGCATGTTCTTCACCCCTAGTGCCACCTGGA